GGTTCTAGTCCCCAGCTACTACTTCCCTGATAGACAATTCCTGGATGTGTGCTTAGCAATGCCTACGGCCAACATTCGTCCCACTTGGGGGTCCCTTTCCAATAGTGACTGGTTGAGGAGCTCAGATACAGCCGACACGTTTTAGGAGACAGGCTCCTCCTCCTTCAGGGCGTGAACAGATTCTAACTGAATCCAGACAGAAGGGTTAGCCTGAAACTAGGGGCGTCCCTAGGCAGGTGCAGGGGGTGTGCACTGCACCGGGTGACACCAATTGCATGGGGTGACACCAGACCCGATCCATGAAAAGGTAGGTTTTAAAGCAAGCCGACGATCACCGCAGAATGGATCGGAGTCTGATCCATTGTCCTCCCCAATCCGCAGATCCCATCCATCCTGCAGGGATCGTCAACTTGCTTTAAAACTTGTTTCATGGAGAGATCAGTTAACCCCGTATAGGTTGCAAGCCGACGATCCCCCGCAGGATGGATTGGATCTGCGGATTGGGGAGGATAAGGGATCAGACTCCGATCCATCCTGCTCACTCCGCAGATCCAATCCATCCTGCGAGGCTCATCGGAGGGGGGTGACACCACGTGTTCCGGGTGACACCAACACTAGGGACGTCCCTGCCTGAATCAAGGTTAAAGCGTTGTCGGCGCACCCTAATGGCAATGCACTGTAGGTGCTCCTAAGCACACATGGGGAGATGAAGGAGGACCAGAGGGGTGAAGATGACATTGGAATCTCTAAGAGCTGATTGGTCATTTCTGTGTTCAGCGAAGAGTCCGTCACCATTACAAGACATTCCCCGGGCCCTTCCCTCCTCTCTGGGGACCCTCCAGAGGCAGCTGCAATCCCACGGCCTTACATGAAACTCAGAGACCAGATGATAAAACAACATGACATTTATTAGACTGGCATCAGGATAAACAGGCGTGCAGCACAAACTCCTATCCACAATGTGGAATCTACGACTGTCCAGGAAACATGGCCGACATGGGGTCCTCCGACATGGGGCCCTCCGACATGGGGCCCTCCGACATGGGGCCCTCAGTGGCCATGATCTGAGACTTTATACGTCCAATAGGAGGGCAGGATTCCCTTCCTGGGTCCTCTGGTCATCACACACAGAACATCCCCAGCCTCCTCCATACTCCGGATCATGACAAGGAAGACAGAACTCTGATGGGATCCATTTTACATTTTTCATTCGTCTCTCAGCATACAGAAAGTTCTAATGAAAGAATCTGTCCCCCCAACATCCCCCCCCCCCCCCCGGTGTGTGCCGGCTGTCCCGGTATGAATAAGTCTCACCTTCTCTCTGTATTGCTTCCTTTGTGTGAAAACCCCGGAGATCCTGCCAGTCCCTCGCTTTCCCATTACTGACCCCACTAGGCATCAGAGCTCAGCGTGGTCAGTTCTGTAATTGTGTTGGGAACTCCATCTGCTCTCCAATCATCACACTCTCCTGACATGCCCTCTCCCATTCACAGGGAAGACTAGTGTTCTGCTGTTTTCTCCTCCGCCAACTTTCTATGCAGCTGAGAACAGAAGGAATGTGATCACTTATAGAAAGGGGAAAAAATGTCTTTATATTGTTTTCTTCCATCTATACACAAATGTTTTCCCTTTCATTTCTATTTTACACTGAATGGTTTGTTTTACAAGATTTACAATCACTCTAAGCTTCTATGCAACCATGGCAAGAGCACTCAGAATGCCTCCCTGGGTCACGCCCCCTGCCATCTCCCTGGGTCACGCCCCCTGCCACTCTGATTGGCTCATTGTTTCTCTCAGAAGTCTGCACAAAGGTTCACATTTCTGGCTTCCCCCGCACGTCCCATCCCTATACTGGAGTGATTTATGGACTGCTGGGTCCGTATCGGCCATACACCCACAGGGAGGCAGGACTTCTCATTACAGCTGATCATGTGACTGAGCTGCAAGCCCCTCCCACTCAGCAACCTAAACAAGCATTTGCAGTGGCCGATATTCCCCAGAATAAAAGCTGATAAGAATGTCCAATGACATTTATGTATTCTCGGGGTTCCAAGAAGTTCTAATGTGTCTAATGTAAGGCGTGGAACTAAAGGAAAAACATTTTAGTTTTGGATGGAGTGGGGGAGGGGTTAGACCCCCCCGTTAGGGAGATTTCCCCTCTCGGTGTCCTATTTACTGCTATCACTGGAAGTGAAGGAAAATCCTACATTTTGAGTTGTCACCAGGACAGGAATAAGGGAAACCTTCCAATGGGGACACTGGTTCTGGTGACTACCTGGGATTCCCTCAATTTGAAGGGATTTGCACTCACTTCCTGTTTTGGCCGTGTGGCAGGAAGTGAAGAGAAATCCCCCTAATGGGACACATGACAGGGGCTCCAACCTTCCCTCACTCCATCCAACATGAAAACAAGTTTTGTCTTTAGTTCTGCTTTAATGGAAATACTGGCAATCTTTGTATCAGATACATGGGATGGAATCTGCCCTTCAATGACTTGGCCCACAGCTTCCTTGTGATGTCTAGGACCTCTACCTGGCTGGAGATAACCAATTCTGATCACGGGAGGTCACCAGAAGAAATGTCCTTCTTGGTTGAGGTTAGAAAGGTCTGCATGGGGCACAGTGAAGGCACTATAAAGGTGAGTACCTTGTCCATATGGATCCATAGACCCCCCCACTGCTCTGTCAGACATTTCCATGACAGGAAATCACCAGCTCTCCACAGATCCCCCCACAGCTCCGTCTAGTATTATGGACATTCTGGTGGTACACATGGTGGGACCAATATAGAACTTCCAGTGGGGTGGTCCAGTATTGTTACCTAGGATGGAGGATTGGGTAGTGTTCATTATAATGTATCAGACATTTTTCTGTAGGAGATGAAAGTCCTATTCCTAGTCCCTGTCCATGTCCGTAGATCCCCCCACAGCTCCGTCTAGTATTATGGACATTCTGATGCCACATGCGGTGGGACCAATATAGGACTTCCAGTGGTTTGTTCTAGCAGTGTTATCTAGGACGGAGGAGGAAGGACTTGGCAGTGTTGATCATTGATATCAGAGATGGTTTGAAATGTCTCATTTTCTTGTGTTGATGTTTTACAAATGGGAAGATTTAGTTCTGTAGATCATCTTGGGCCAGAGGAGGTGTGACGAGTGAGCTGTCCCTTGTCCACATTTCCTGGTCATGTGCTGTTTTTCACTTTCTGTGAGGACTTTATTGAAGATCCAATGAATGTCAGGTGAGGCACCCTGAGGCAATATATCTTCCAGAAGTCCTTTTAGTACTGGTTGTGTCAGACACGGCGGGACTTGTAAGGAACCTTCTGGTGCTGGACATGGTGGGACTTGTGAGGGTTAGTTCTAGTGCCGGACATGGGAACATTGCAGCTGAGTGAACCTTTGGTGTTAGACACATTGGGACTAGTAAGTGAGGGAACCTTCTGGTGGGACCAGTAGCCGAGGGAAGCTTCTGGTGGGATCAGTAAGTGAGGGAACCTTCGGTGGGGTGGGAAGGGTGAGGGAACCTTCCGGTGGGGCCGGCAGGGGAGGGAACCTTCCGGTGGGGCCGGCAGGGGAGGGAACCTTCCGGTGGGGCCGGCAGGGGAGGGAACCTTCCGGAGTGGCCGGCAGGTGAGGGAACCTTCCGGGGGGACCGGTAAGGGGGAGAACCTTCTGGTGGGACCGGAAAGGGAACCTTCTGGTGGGACCAGCAGGGGAGGGAACCTTCCGGTGGGACCGGTAAGAGAAGCTTCCGGGTGGGGCACCGGTAAGAGAAGCTTCCGGTGGGGACCGGTAAGAGAAGCTTCCGGTGGGACCGGTAAGAGAAGCTTCCGGTGGGACCCGGTAAGAGAAGCTTCCGGTGGGACCAGCAAGTGAGGGAAGCTTCTGGTGGGACCGGAAAGGGAAGCTTCCGGTGGGACCGGCGAGTGAGGGAAGCTTCCGGTGGAACCGGCGAGTGAGGGAAGCTTTCGGTGGAACCGGCGAGTGAGGGAAGCTTCCGGTGGAACCGGCGAGTGAGGGAAGCTTCCGGTGGAACCGGCGAGTGAGGGAAGCTTCCGGTGGGACCGGCGAGTGAGGGAACCTTCCGGTGGGACCGGCGAGTAAGAGAACCTTCTGGTGGGACCGGTAAGAGAACCTTCTGGTGGGACCGGTAAGAGAACCTTCTGGTGGGACCGGTAAGAGAACCTTCTGGTGGGACCGGTAAGGGAACCTTCTGGTGGGACCGGGTAAGGGAACCTTCTGGTGGGACCGGTAAGGGAACCTTCTGGTGGGACCGGTAAGGGAAGCTTCTGGAGGGACCGGTAAGGGAAGCTTCTGGTGGGACCGGTAAGGGAAGCTTCTGGTGGGACCAGCAAGTGAGGGAACTTATGGTGGGACCAGCAAGTGAGGGAACCTTATGGTGGGACCAGCAAGTGAGGGAACCTTATGGTGGGACCAGCAAGTGAGGGAACCTTATGGTGGGACCAGCAAGTGAGGGAACCTTATGGTGGGACCAGCAAGTGAGGGAACCTTATGGTGGGACCAGCAAGTGAGGGAACCTTATGGTGGGACCAGCAAGTGAGGGAACCTTATGGTGGGACCAGCAAGTGAGGGAACCTTATGGTGGGACCAGCAAGTGAGGGAACCTTATGGTGGGACCAGCAAGTTAGGGAAGCTTCAGTTGATGGACATTATATGACATATGAGGGAATCTACTAATGCCGGATGCGGCAGGACTTGTGAGGAACTCGTATTGTGACACTTTAGTGAAATGCCCAGTACTGTACAGTTTTCCGGAAGATCAGACTCATGTTGGGTTTGCTGTTGGAAGATGAGGACCTCAGTGAATTGGACGTTCTGGTGTCATACACGGTACTGTATACACATCTTTCTCAGGAGATCAGTCACATGTTGGGTTTGCAGTTCACATTTGAAGATGAGGACCTCAGTAGAGTCAGTCACGGTTGTGACTTGTAAAGCTCTCCATTGCTAGATTTCTGCCAACAAAGCAGTTCTGTGGTCATTCGGAGAGGGAGCCTTCGGAGTGGATCCTCTGATGTCGGGTGAGGTGGGATCGATAGGTAAAGTGTTTGCCACACTCGGCACAAAGGAAGGGTTTTTCTCCGGTGTGGATTCTCTTGTGGATCATCAGGTAAGTGTGTCGGCTGAAGGATTTGCTGCACTCGGGACAAGTGAAGGGCTTCTCACCAGTGTGAATGCGTTGGTGGCGGAGGAGATCAGACTTCTTGCTGAAACATTTTCCACACTCCGAGCAGGCGAACGGCCGGCCTCCAGTGTGCGTTCTGCTGTGTGCTGCCAGTGCCGTCCTCTGGCTGAAGCACTTGCCGCACTCGGAGCAGACGAACGGTCGCTCTCCTGTGTGAACTCGCTGGTGGATGCCGAGATAGGTGTGACGGCTAAAGCATTTTCCGCACTCTGAACAGGCAAAGGGTTTCTCCCCGGTGTGAATGCGCTGGTGGCGCACCAGGTCAGATTTGGTGACAAAGCATTTTCCGCATTCAGTGCAGACAAAGTGTTTCTCCTCGGTGTGGATGCGGAGGTGCTTACGCAGTTCGTATTTCAGCACAAAACTTTTCCCGCACTCCGAACATGGATATGGCTTCACGCCAGTGTGAAGGGTCATGTGCTTGTTGAGATCTCGCTTCTGCGCAAAGCATTTCCCACACTCCGTGCAAGCAAATGGTTTTTCCCCGGTATGAATCCGCCGGTGGGAAATGAGCGTGGAGTATTGTGTGAAATATTTGCCACACTCCGAACACGAGAAGGTTTTCTCCCCGGTGTGCACACGGCGATGGATGACCAAGTGCGAATGGCGGCTGAATCGTTTTCCGCACTCAGAACATATGAAGGGCTTCTCTCCGGTGTGAATCTTCTCGTGCCGCGACACGTCCGACTTCTTGCGGAAACATTTGCCACATTCGGAGCAGGAGAAGGGCTTCTCCCCGGTATGGACTCGGACGTGACGCTGAAGCTGCATTTCCCGTGTGAAGACTTTGCCACACTCAGAGCAGGTGAAGGCTTTCTCTGCCGTGTGAATTCTCTGATGGCGACTGAGGTGCGAGTCGCGGCTGAAACATTTCCCACACTGTGGGCAGGAGAATGGCTTCTCCCCGCTGTGGATTTTCTCGTGACGGAGGACGTCAGATTTTTTGCTGAAACATTTTCCGCACTCGTAGCACATGAAAGGCTTTTCCCCGCTGTGAATTCTCTGGTGTCGGCTCAGGTCTGACTTACTGCTGAAGGTTTTACTGCACATGGCGCATAAAAACTGCTTCCGGGGCAGGTGGCCACGCTGGTGCCGGGCCAGTTCTAGCGGGGTGGTGAAACACTTGTCACACTCTGGACAGGGATAGTCTCTCATTGGCCGGTACATAGAGTCGGTCTCAGGGGGCTCCCCCGCTGGGTAGACTTCGGTGTCGGTGAGATTCTCTTCATCCTCTGACACCGATTCCTCCTTAATGATAACTGGAATGAAATCGATAGCCGCTGTGCTGCCGCTGATGTGGTCCTCATTGTCAGGAACCTGGGACTCCGCCTTGCAGTCAGAAGACGGACGCGGCGCGCAGCGCTCACCTTCACAGTTGGTGTCATTTAGACTCTCCTCCCTAGTGGAAGCGGATTCCTCCTTTATACATGGCGGCTTGATGTGATTGGTGGAAACAGAAACATCGGCATTCGTTGTGTTTCCCTTCGCATCAATGAAAGTCAATGTCGGTTGCTTGTTATCCTCAGGGGTGGGGCCATCAGCTAGTCTGCCTCCTTCTGGTGATGACCACTCCTCTTTAATATCCAGATCACATGGCGAATGTTCCTCAGACATGGCGGGATGATCGCTCCTCTCGTCCTTCATGCAGCTCACAATCGATCCTTTGGGTTTAAATTCCATCACAGGAAACCTGGTGGCTCCGCCCCTTCTTCTATCCAGAGGGCAATCTGAAAACAGAGAGATGGAGGATGAGAGACACGCCCACGAGGATCTTCCACATTTATTTCATCAAAGCAGTGAAGGGAACATAATCGCCGTTGTGGGGAGGCAAATCTCATGGAACAAGGCTGGCCTCCTCCACCTGGCCCCAGACAAGGACTCATCATCAGCAGGAGGAGCATCTGCCCCATTGTGAGAGTCCAACATTCACTTTAATGGTTCACACAGCCAACACATTTCAAGAGCCTCGGGGGGGTTCATCAATGACATCACACAGAGGAGGGCCAGCACCAATGACATCACCCAGGGGAGAGTCACCATCAGTGACATCATCACAGGGAAGAGTCACCAATGTCATCATCACACAGGGGAGGGCCAGCACCAATGACATCACCACCCGGGGAGAGTCATCATCAATGACATAATCACAGGGGAAGAGTCATCCAATGACATCATCACAAAGGGGAAGGGTCATCAGTGACATCATCATGCAAAGGGGAGGGTCACCAGTGACATCATCATGCAGGGGAGGGTCATCACCAATGACATCATCACGCAGGGGAGGGTCATCACCAATGACATCATCACGCAGGGGAGGGTCATCACCAATGACATCATCACACAGGGGAGTTTACCAATGACATCATCACACAGGGGAGTTTACCAATGATATCACACAGAGGAGATCACCAATGACATCATCACACAGGGAAGGGTCATCATCAATGACATCATCACACAGGGAAGGGTCATCAATGACATCATCACACAGGGAAGAGTGACCAATGTCATCATCACACAGGGGAGGGCCAGCACCAATGACATCATCACCAGGGGAAAGTCATCATCAATGACAATCACACAGGGGAGAGTCATCATCAGTAACATCATCACAGGGAAGAGTCACCAATGACATCATCACACAGGGGAGGGGCATCAGTGACATCATCACGCAGGGGAGGGTCACTAGTGACATCATCACGCAGGGTCATCACCAAGGGTCATCACCAATGGCATCATCATGCAGGGGAGATCACCAATGACATCACACAGGGGAGATCACCAATGATGTCATCACACAGGGGAGATCACCAATGACATCATCACACAGGGGAGATCACCAATGACATCACACAGGGGGGGAGATCACCAATGACATCATCACACAGGGGAGGGTCATCACCAATGACATCACACAGGGGAGGGTCAACACCAATGACATCATCACACAGGGGAGGGGGTCATCACCAATGACATCATCACACAAGGGAGGGTCATCACCAATGACATCATCACACAAGGGAGGGTCATCACCAATGACATCATCACACAAGGGAGGGTCATCAATGACATCACACAGGGGAGAGTCATGACCAATGACATCACCACCAATGGGACGGTCATCATCAATGACATCATCACATAGGGGAGAGACCAATGTCATCACACAGGGAAGAATCACCAATGACATCATCACACAGGGGAGAGTCATCACCAATGACATACATCACACAGGGGGGAGAGTCACCAATGACATCATCACATCACACAGGGGGAGGGGGGTTGTTGGGTCATTACCAATGACATCATCATACAGGGGAGGGTCATCACCAATGACATCATCACACAGGGAAAGGTCATCACCAATGACATCATCACGCAGGGAAGAGTCACCAGTGACATCATCACTCAGGGGAGGGTCATCACCAATGACATCACCCAGGGGAGGGTTATCACCAATGACATCATCACGCAGGGGAGGGTCATAATCTATGACATCATCTCGCAGGGGAGCGTCACCAATGACATCATCACACAGGGGAGACTCACCAATGACATCATCACACAGGGTAGGGGCATCACCAATGACATCATCACGCAGGGGAGAGTCACCAATGACATTACACAGGGAGAGGCATCAATGACATCATCACACAGGGTAGGGGCATCAATGACATCACACAGGGGAGGGGCATCACCAATGACATCATCACGCAGGGGAAGGTCACCATCACACGTTTCTTCATTTCTCCTCCATGTGTCTGGCCCCCTGCATGGAAGAGGACACGCAGCCATCAGCCTATGACAATGGGGGGCGCTGTGTACACACGGGGGAGGAGCCACTGTTTTGGAGAGGTGGGTGGGGCTGAGGGTAATTGGGAAGGGGGGAGGGTAGGGAAAGGGCAGGCAAGTGGCAGTCAGTACAGGAAAGGGTAGTTGGGGGGAGGGAAGGGTAGGTGAGGAGGGGGCTCAGTGGGTAACACCCCCTCAGGCTTCAATCCGGTAGAAATGCTCCCGCAGGGGATAATGGGAGCAGAAAGTCCCATCCACTACCTCCCTCTAACAGTTTTTATTTCAGGAACTGCCATTCTCACCCTCTCTGCAGCCGCCATCTTGCTCCGCCCCGGAAGTTCTCCCCATCTCGTCTGATCCGCCTCCTGACCCCACTTCCTGTTTGCGTTCCATATTGGTGACGTTGTTTCCTCATCCAGAATGTAGGCGGAGCTACTTCCTGTTGATGAGACGTCACGTGTCTCATCCAGCGTGACATCTGGTGGCGACAAATGAGAACTGCACCTCCGTCTTTGTTATCCATTCATATACAGCGACCCCCAGCGACGGAGGTTGTAACTCCTACTCTCTGGTTATTCTATCTAAATATACAGGGACACCCGATGCTTAAAGCGGAGAATTACAACTCCTCTACTACTATATTATTGGTGAGCGGCATCTTGTGGCAATACGCGAGAACTGCAACTCACTTATGATTACACAGCGACACCCGATGGTCAGAGCGGAGAACTGCAACTTATTATAGATACACAGCGCCATCCGCTGGTCAGAGCGGAGAACTGCAACTTATTATGAATACACAGCGCCATCCGATGGTCAGAGCGGAAAACTTCAACTTATTATGAATACACAGCGACATCCGATGGTCAGAGCGGAAAACTGCAACTTATTATGAATACACAGCGACATCCGATGGTCAGAGAGGAAAACTGCAACTTATTATAAATACACAGCGCCATCCGATGGTCAGAGCGGAAAACTGCAACTTATTATGAATACACAGCGACATCCGATGGTCAGAGCGGAAAACTGCAACTTATTATAAATACACAGCGACATCCGATGGTCAGAGCGGAAAACTGCAACTTATTATGAATACACAGCGACATCCGATGGTCAGAGCGGAGAACTGCAGTCACGGCTCCATTAAGAATCATAATTGTGATACTGACATAATAATATTCGTAATACAGAAATGACGTCATCACCTATCAATACAAATAATACATCTGGAGGCGGGCTTCTCCTCCGGTCATGTGTCGTGTCTACTGTTCGCCAATCCGGAATAGAGGCGGAAGAATCCTCACCACAATGTCTCCGGTTCCGGTCTACGACAAGATGGCGGCTGGAGACTAACGAAGGAGGAGGAATGGAGAACGGTTCGTTCGGGGTTTTCCCGGGTAAGAGATCCACCAGAACCCCCAACACCTGGAGAATTGTACATATGACGTCACAGCTTCCTGATTACACCAGGGAGGACCCGCATGTGACGTCACTGCCCCTCTATGGGTGGTTATTTTGAATGAGAAAAAGTCACCTGCCTCTTCCCCTCACCTGATAAATATAGAACACCTGACCCCCTAACACACCTGATAAATATAGAACACCTGACCCCCTCCCCCTCACACACCTGATAAATATAGAACACACCTGACCAATATTTAATCACCAGTGACCCCTCCCCTCACACACCTGATCCTCTTCCTCCTAACAGTCCCACCAATGGCCGACTTTCACCATCACCTTTCCTACTGTTCACAGACAGAGCCACCTGACCAGTCCCCCAATCCCGACCTTCACCATCACCTTTCCTACTGTTAAACAGAGCCATCCCGACCAGACCCACCAATCACCGACCTTCACCACACCTTTCCTAACTGTTCACAGACAGGACCATCCTGACAGTCCCACCAATGGCCGACTTTCACCATCACCTTTCCTACTGTTCACAGACAGAGCCATCCCGACCAGTCCCACCAATCACCGAGCCTTCACCACCTTTCCTACTGTTCACAGACTGTCCTCTTCTCCGACCAGTCCCACCAATGGCCGACCTTCACCATCACCTTTCCTACTGTTCACAGACAGGAGCCATCCCGACCAGTCCCACCAATCACTGATCGTCACCATCACCTTTCCTACTGTGCACAGACAGAGCCATCCCGACCAGTCCCACCAATCACCGACCTTCACCAACACCTTTCCTACTGTTCACAGACAGAGCCATCCCGACCAGTCCCACCAATCACCGACCTTCACCATCACCTTTCCTACTGTTCACAGACAGAGCCATCCTGACCAGTCCCACCAATCTGTTTGATGATGATTTCTGTAGAGTTTATTCTTCATATTAGTCCTGAGCTGACCCTCATCTG